CAGGATGGCACACAGCTGTACAGAGGTCTCACCAGCACAGCTCTGTCCTTGAAAACTTGTGCCAAAGCCCATCATGTACAGCCACATGACATTTCATCTGGAAGTCCTCACTGGCTCTTGCTCCGAGACATGGCTAATACTTTCCTGATGCTACAGCTGAGGAGCAATGGCACATCAAACACCATGGCACTGAGAAAGAAATCTAACCCCCCCCATGAAACTGGCACATATGCACAAAGACATAACAGGCACAAAGACCTACTGCACAGACATGGATAACAGGGGCAACTCCCAACCACAGCCTTGTCACACAAGTGCTATCAGTGTTAAATCTGTCACCACATCCAGCAGTCACAGGACAGTCAACTTAGGAAGGAAGACTGTCCTTTTTGTGTAGCCTACATCCTGGCAAAGGGAAAGATATAATGCTGTAAAAGAGAAAGCTTCCTGATCTTCATTTTCCCTACAGCTATCACACAAATATTCATGTAGTACTATTTGTGTATCAGATGCCATCCTAAGAGTTTTATGTGCAGTTACTCACCATATCATTAGACCATCTTTGTGAGAGTGTTATACTATTAGCTTCTCACAGAGAAGGAAGCAGGTACAGACAGGTGAAGTCACTTGCTTAAAGTCTCAGTCACTTGCTTAAGTCACACCTTAGTAGGGAGGCACAGATGGACTATGAACCCAGATAGTCTCGTTCCCAAATATGCTCTTAACTTCCCTGCCAACCCCCTTCCCACTAAGAATTGAGACTATATGCCATGTCATTCTGGATAAGACCTACAGCCCAGCATCCACCCAGCCACATGCCCAGTAGGGACAGGCATTGGGCTAAACCTGGAGAGCCACATAAGCAAGCACTGAGGCTGCCTCCAGTCTTGGCAGAAGCAGCACTTCTGCAGCAGCTTCCAGGCCCCTGGAATCCCCACCTCCTGACTAAGGCATGGTCCTCCCTCCCCGGAGATCAAAGTCGCCTGATATTCTGGGACTCATTCCTGGAGGTCCTGTACAAATCCCACTCCTGCTCTTCCTGAGATCTGGAAATTCTTTGTAGCAAACTATGTACTCTTTCAAATGACTGGAGTGGTATCTACTTACCAGCTCTGAAACATGACTGACATATTTGTCTAAAAGGTAATAGAAGAAGATGAGGTAAGGGATGCTTATAGAGCCAGCAGGGAAACAGGTGTAGCTTGGAGCATTAGCATGTATATGTCAGAGTAGGAGAGAAGGATGAGAGGGATTTGGGGGCAGAAAGGGCACTGAGAAGTAAGCAAGAGAAATAAGAACACAACACAGGCTGGACCTGACAAGGAATCAGGACTAGGCCAGGGCAAATGCTTCACTGGGTACTGTGAGAACAGGGTATCCCAACTAGATTTTGTGTAAAGACAGCATGCACTAGATAGAAACGTACATTTTTCCTGGGTCCATGGGGCTGAGGATACCATATTATGAGGAGATAATCAGAAAACTGATATGATGGTTAAGCTCAATGATGTCAACTTGATGGCTTGGAATCTGCCTGGGGAATCGGTAGCACAGATGTGGGTGTGTCTGGGTGCTGTTTGGTCATTAGTCTCATCCTCTTGCTCTGCTTCCTAGATGCTATGACCTGAGAAGCTGTGCTCTGCTGTGTTCTTCTGCTAGGATGTTCTTGCTTTTGAACTAGTCAATCATGGTCTGAAATCTCTGAAACTATGACCCAAATAAACTATTTTCTCCTTTAAATTGTAGGTACCTGGTATTTGGCCTAAGCAATGGGAAAGCTGACTAATACAACTACCCAATTTGTCAATTTTTAGTTACTGCACCAAATACTTGAGAGATTAATTTCTCTCAAGAACTTAAGGCAGGACAAATTTATTTCAGTTCAGTGTTTCAAAGTTTCAGTCCATGGTCACCTAGCCTGTTGCTTTTGGGCCTGTGGTAGGGCAGGATATCATGGAGGAAATGTGTGGCAGAGGACAGCTGCTCACCTCATAGTGGATAGGAAGCAAAGAAATGGAGGAGGAAGGGGCCAGGGTCTCAATTTCCTTCAAGAGCCAACTCCCACCTACATCCTCAACTACCAGTGGTCCCATGTACTGAAGTGTCTCCCACCTGCTGATAGTACCATCTGCAAGGAACTAAGCCTGTAACACATGAGCTTTTGGGGATGATTCAAACTATAACATTTAGTGAAGTCCTATCACTGAAAGCAGACACAGATGGACTGAGTCAAGGCTATACCAGTAATATTTTCCCATTTATGCATTGTTGGTTTTTTTTTTGTGTGTGTGTGTGTGCGTAACTTGGGATTGAACTCAGGCCCTTGCACTTGCCAGGGAAGCACTTATTCTACTAAGCTATCTCCCCAGCCCACTGAGCTATCTCCCCAGCCCTATGCATCTTTGTATTCCAATATATCCTCTGATTCATAAAGATATATATTATTACATTAAAATATATCTAAAAAATCTTTATTAAGCATCCACTATGCATAAGATACTTTTGTAGGCACTGGGGATATGGTAGTGAAAAAAACAGATCAGGATCCCTATCCTTACAGGACTAACTATAAATATGTAAGTATAAAACAAAAGTCAACATTCTTCTTGCATACAACCCTTCCCATACTCCACAGGTTGTCTATTATGTAGACATCGTGAAAATTTTAAAGACTATATGAAACGTACACACTCATTTTCTCTTTCTCTGTTTCTCTCTCTTCCTTCCTTCTTTCCTTTCTTCCTATGTGAAAGAAAGAACTAAATGTAAACCCTCTTTCTATTTGCATCTGTTTCCTCTTATAGCAAGTCATTAACATCAACACATTCACCAAAGACCCTAGGTGTCAAAAAGCAGGAATTAGAAAGGCAGTTAAGATAATGTGTTTGTGTTGTAGGGGTTAAATAAATAATGATACAGACATACAGTGAAATAGTGTGCAGACATAAATTGATGCCTCAGTTTCATCATGCTGTTTTGGAATTTTTCCATGTCACAGTATTTAAGATTGATGATTTAAAAAAATTGACAAAACTATACATTATTACTGATCTTAGTGATGTTTATCCATATTTTGTAGTAGTGATATCCTCAGATCTTTGAAAAAACCATGGGAATCCATACTTCTAAGTTGAGTGCCAGTTTCTATAGTTTTGGTATCTCGGGTGATTTTGGATAACCATCAGTCAATACTTGTAGAACCTTCATGATATCCACGTACTTTAGAGGAGGATGTTTTACACTGGCCTCAAGGACCTAGCTCTGCCCATGTGTGCCAATAGCAAGTCATGTGACCTTCCTTGGCTTTCACGCATTGAGAATCCAATGAAAAACTAAGAAAAAGCCCTTCAAGTATCACCTACTACAGAAAGATACAGGAGGAGGAAAAAAGAACTGGGGTTTTGCTGGACTATAGTGGCTTACCGACCCCTTCCCTCAAGAACTGGCAGCCTGAAGTTGAGCTCTTCACTACATTATACTTTCCACTCATAGCACAGTCTGTTCTCCAAGGAGCCTTCACAGGCCCCAGCAGTGCGGTTTGGAGGCAGAACACTTACCTACATGTTGAGGCCTTGGATTCCATCCTCCGCACCACTCAAAAGATCAAAAGAAAAAAAAAAAAGCCTTTGACTGTTTGTTTGTTTGTTTGTTTGTTTGTTTGTTTGTTTGTTTGGTGGAACTGGGGATTGAACTCAGGCCCTTGCGCTTGCCAGGGAAGCACTTATTCCACTGAGCCATCTCCCCGGCCCCTAAAGAAAGACCAAGTATTCTTTCTTTTTTTGTTGTTGGAACTGGGGATTGAACTCAGGTTCTTGGGCTTGCTATGGAAGCACTTATGCCACTGAGCCATCTCCCTGGCATAAAGATTTTTTTTTTCTCCAAATGCCTTCAGGGCAGGTTTGGCTGGCTTGAGTTGTGGGGACTGAACCACAGCAACCTGAGCCTGACGGCTTTGTTGAAGCAGCCACTTAAAGAACTGAGCTAAGGGGCAGCCCCCCACAAAAAGCCTTAACGATTGAAGCAAATTTTACTAAAGATTTCATGGAGATGTACAGAAGACCCCTATGACTAAACTTAATGATCTTTTCTACCAGAAACATCTGTTCTTCCCTGGAAGTTCATCGTTGGCTGCCAGGCCTACCTCCAACTTTGTTCAACAGAGACTCCCCAGTCTCCATGGCTCCAGCCTTTCTTGACTCCATGAGCTCCCCTTTGGGTCCTTCTATGCATTATTCCCTTTGAGCTTCATAGAGCATGCACCCTTTCAGTCTTGGATTCTCATATCACTTTCCTACTCAAAGCCAAAGCATTTTTTCATAGAATTTCCTTAGAAAACAGTGGGGAATTTTAATAATCATTTTCCTGTCTCAAACTTCTATTTCCCTTGCATTGGTATTATTAGATATTTTAATTTCTCCCATGGTTCAGAATATCTATGGTGTGCTTAGATCTGGAACCTTGCAAGTCATCTAAGACTGGTCCATCCTTTGGAACCTGATGTGACTGGTTTCTAAAGAAGCAGGATCTGGGGCTGGTGAGATGGCTCAGTGGTCTAAAGCACCTACTTAGAACAAGCTTAACTAAAGTAGAGGGACCGCAGTTCAATCCCCCAGCACCACATGCCAGCCAGCCCTGCCTCCTAGTGGGCTGAGCTGGCTACACACACATACACAAACACACAAATAAATAAATAAATAAATAAAAAGACTTAAAAAAAAAAAAGAAGCAGGATCTTGTCTAAGGCTAAGGATTATTATGGTTATAAAGCAGTAGGTGATTCGCAATCTAGTGCACATCCTGTTGCACTAAGCCTAAGACACATATGAACTGTGAGGCTTTTAGATTTACTGGAACCCAAACTCAGAAATAAAAGGGAATTTGGAGTTTATCTAGAATAAACATTACTTTAGAGAGGTTAAATGGAAACTTTCCTTGTAGCTGTAGTCTCTGAATCTTAAAAGTACAACGATTAGACAGCTGCTTTAGAACCCATCACTTACCTGGTGGGTATGATTTCCAGGAACATATACAGACTTAAACTCTTTCATGTGACTCCGAGCTCCAGCAATATCCCAAAGAGAAGAAAATAGTTCATCTACGATGATTTTGGATCTGTGAAATGTCAGTTTAGTTGCAGAGTCACAGCCTGAAATAATCCAAAGGTATTTTCTTAGGTGAGTGAATCTTTAAATTTAATTTTCCTTATAACAGCTTGAGCTTGATGTAACCCAGGTGGGAGTTTCCTTTTAACCTATTTCCCTTAGATATTCACCACTGGTGTTCCAGGCATCCATGAACAGTGCAATAAGGTGAGAGTATAAATGCTTTCAACATAAGCAGGACTCAGAATTAATTGCCTAGGACCACTGCCACTGACTTTACTCCACAGACTGCAGAAGATTCATAGAGAGAAAGCTCTCTAGGGCTACAAACTTCATAAATACTGCTTTGGGAAAATATGTGGAGGCACAAAGGAGAATGATATAATGAAATTCCCTTGCTTGAATTTCACTAAACGCACATTGTTCTAGCCCAGGTGCTGGCGGTAGTCTTTGAAGACTGCATGCATGTTTCCCTAGTAACCCCCACCTGCTGCTCTTTAATATGAGCTGGACTGAGATGGGATGAAGAGCCAATGATCCATGCTGTTGACTGGGATTGAGCTTGACAGAGAGGCTATGACTTCTGGAGGTATGAAAGATTACACATCAGGGCAGAAGCACCAGACTCCAAAACATTAGATACTATGTCAATTATGCAATGCAGATTAATCTCTGCATATCTTTCTCTTCACATATTGTAGAGGTAAATACAGACCTCCTAGCTAGCCCAGCTCATAGTAATCACCTACTTCCTGCCATTCTCAGTCATTCATCCTCAAGCCACTCCTTCATAACTGAATAAAACCAGAGTTTGGCCCTAGAAGACTTTGTTCTGGATAGCCATCACCATGGCTGGACTTAGAAACCCTTGGCTCCCTATAACTATAACTATGCTTTAGTGTCTTTATTCTCACCATGGGTTACACTAGAAGTGGCAGATTGGAATTAACTTAATGGAATTCCAATAACTTATCCATGGAATTACAAATATAAACTTCCCAGACTGAGACTGAGAACCAGGAAGGGCTCTTTATAAAAATAATCCCCCTCACTTATCTCATTGGGGCAATTCTGAGCTGTAGTCTCCATAGTTTTTCTGAGGGCCTTCAGCAGGGCTGGCTGGGCATGACAGCTGCTCATTCATTAATATGCCCTTCCTTATCTTTCCTTCCTTTCCTGTGGGACTCCCCTCCTTCCTCACTGTACTTTTCCAAATGCAGAAATTACACCCAAACTCCTGTTGCTGGACATCCAGACCTCCACACTGATTGAACACAGGCAGCTTGGATCCAGAGCCTGTCATCTCCCCATCTTCCTCTTTCTCTTCTTTTGGTAGCAACTTTCTTAGCATGCAACTTGCATACTGTGTAGTTTCCCATTTAACATGTAGAATCCAGTATGTGTTAGTATATTCAGAGTTTCACAACCATCATTTGACAGTCAGTTTTAGAACACTTTTTATCATATGAATAAGAAACCTATCTGTCAGCAGTCACTTCTGGTTTTTCCTAACCTTACCCTTGGCAACTACTAATTATGCTTTCTGTCTCTATAGATTTACTGATTCTGGATATTTCATATAAATGGAATTGCACAATATGTGGTTTTATGACTAGTTTCTTGTATTTACCATGTTTTCAGGGTTTATCCAAGTTGTAACATTTATCAGGACTTCACTCATTTTTATTGTCTACTAATATTCCACTGTATGAATACATGATATTTTATGTATCTATCCATCATCTGGGTTATTTAGGAACAATGAATGATCTTGCTAGTTTTGCATGTACAAGTTTTTGTGTGGATATATGTTTTTATTTCTCTTGCGTATCTACCTAGAAGGGTTGCTGGATCATACGGCAAATTGTACTTAGCCTTTTGAACTATTGCCAGACTGCTTTCTAAATTGGTTGTCCTGTTTTGCATTCCTACTGGCAGTTTAAGAAGGTTTCCATTTTTCCACATTTTCATTAATGTTTACTATCTATATTCTTGACTATAGTTACCCTAGTGAGTATGAAGTGAGGAGACACTTGTTGATTTTAATAATTAGAGACATCATTTTTAGAGAAGAGAGGTAAATTCAAAGAATCTTAAATGCAAAGAGACTATACCTAACAAGCACAGAAGCATTCAGCAGAAGCCAATCACATCAGGCACAGTGCTATGGCTTGTGATACAGCCCATCCATATTCTTAATTACTGCATAAAATTACAGGATATAACTCTTAAAGGGTGCGTAAAATGCTCCAACCAATTTTTATCTCCTAGTTATCAGAAATGTCAGACTTATTGCCACTAAAAATAAAAAAGAAAATTCAAAGTGTGGTTATACTATTGTATTTTCTCTACTATAATAAAATACCTGAGTCGGAGGAATTACTTAGTTTATAGTTTTTGTGGCTAAAAATCCTAGATTGGGGGGGTGCATCTGTTCAACTTCTGGTAAATGGTCCTTGATAGTCACAACATGGCAGATGACATCAGGGCTGCAGCATGACCACATGGCGAGATAGGAAGCCAGAAAATGGGGAGAGGCCAGTCAGCTTGCTCCTCTTACAAGAATGAACTGTTTCAGGAACTCTCTGTGAAATATTAACCCTTTCCAAAGGCAGTGTCCCAGTGACCTAGTCACCTTTCACCAGGTCTCACCTCTTCAAGATTTCACCACCTCTTCAAGCACTACATTGGGATCAAGCTTCCAGCACTTCTGGGGACAAACTGCGATCAACCACAGGAAAGGTCCAGCCAGCCAGAGAAATCTTGGTGTTTAGTAGACACTGAATATCTGTGATCTATGGATTGTTGGGGGCAAAAAGGAACTGATAGAATTCAGGGAGTTCACAAGAACTCCTTGGAATACACTGCCAAACTCTGTGGAAAAGAGAAAATGTGCAGTTTGCTGAGGAAAACGTCCTAGACTTCTTCCTGATTCCTAAAGAGGCTTACAACCAAGAAAGGTCCAGTCCTATAGGTACAGAGCACTGAATATCCACACAGCCTGCTTGCTCTCTGCATACGTTTTAGCTGAGACACAACAGCTTGCATTTTAGGCAGCAATCAGTCATGAGAAGCATGGAGGAGCATGGCTCCTCACCATTCACTAGAGCTTCTTACTTAAAGTCTCAGACAAAACTACTGGAGATGTGAAAAATTATATTAATTCTATCTAGAAGTTTTAATTATACATTAATGATTAAAATTGCAAAAGACACAAAAAGGAGAAAGGAAACACTACTAGTTCTAGTACCATTCAAAGTGTTTAATTCCTCTAAAAGACAGTCCAATTAATAGACTAATACTTTTTATTTAAAGTAATTCATTTCCTATAGAACTGAAAAATCTATCCAATTTTCCATAGACTCTATTTTAATATTTGGAAAATAAGGAGTATGATACACTTCCACTAGGTTGAGTGTAACCAAATTATTTATTCAATCAAAGATTATTTGCTGAAAGTCTTAGATTACATATAGCATTATGGATTCTATATAAAAATTAAGCAAAAGCTATATATTTAGAAAAATTAAGGTCAGCTGTAGAGCATATTGTTTGAATTACAGGTACTAATAAATGGAACGTAAATGAATCCAACAAAACTGCTAAATAAGACTGCTTCATAAGTGCTAAAAGGAAAAGACTAATAATGTTAAAATAATGTTAAAACTATTCTGAAAAATAGTCAACTATGCCCATTATTCAAACCAACTACAAAGGCAATTTCTGTCCAAAGTACTTGCTCTCTCCATCTTGTCTGATTAAAATAAGCCTCCTTTATCTGCTCTTCCCAAAACACAGACATCCTAGAACACCTGCTTTGAGGTTGTATAATCTCTCTAATCTTCACTGAAAAGGCCTTTACATTTCCCAAAACCCTAGCATGAAAGTCAAACACATCAGTTCTAGAAACAGGATGAGAGAAGATAAAAGACAAGATCACACAGCACCATTTCCAACCCAGCCAGGGTTCCAAATGTTCCTCACCTTGCTAAACTGAGTATATTTCAAGCATATGCTGTGCTTAGCAGATGAGAGGGGATATGGAGATAAAGACTATTAAATAGGATGAGTTATTTCCTGTCTTAACAGTAATCCCTCTAATCTCTGGGTACTTCTCACTCTATGTCAGGAACTATTCTGAGAAATTTATCCATTTTAGCTTATTTAATCACCAGAAAACCCATCATGGGTGGTACTATTATCATTCCCATTTTGCAGATGGAGAAACTGATCCATATGTAAGCTTATTCTAGTAAATGGTAGAACTGAGATTCCAACCCTTGCAGTCCCAACCCCAAAGGTAGTTGTTAATCTTCTACTTTCATGTGATACCACCACATGTATGAAAAAAAAAAAAAAAAAAAAAAAGAACCACATAATTCACTTTTAACTTGCAGAAATGCTTTTTAAAAGGAAGGCGTAGCCTTTCTTCCTGGGAAGACCTGGGTATGCCCCTGGCATAGAGGCTAACAGTGGTTTGCAGTCAGACCAAGGCCCATCTGTTTTGGCCACACAAGGTGTGAGATTTCCCAAGCCTGAGTGTACAGGCTCCTTTGAATACGCTCTGTAAGGTGCTGTATTCAGTTACTTCTAATAAGGCCCTGACAGCCTACTCTATTAAGCCAGCTCACAAGATAACGTTTTGTAAGAGAGCTCTAAGTGTACAATTCCAGTCAATTCTCATTTAATTCACTTAGTTAAATAGATAATAAACTAAAAGCTGATCCTAGCTTTTAACTAAGCACAGTCTGAACTTTAGTTGCCTATTTCCTGATAAGGGAGGCCGCACCTAACACCCAGGATGTCCCTGGGTTCTTAAAAAATGGTGGGATGACTCATGCCCCTGCAATTTCTTTCTCTGCAGAGCTTGGTGATCTCTTGGGCAGGGGTCCAGTTACTCTGTGGAGTGACAACATAGGGCTCCGTGTCATGCCTACCCTCCCTCTGTTCCCCTCTCAGCTTTACTTATATGCCTGCACTTCAGCAGAGGGAGAATAGTTTCCAAGGCTTTGTACTCTGTAGGGACCCACATTTCCAGCCACAA